CAGAAGAAACTCGCGGAACTGCCACCGGCGATTTGCATCCGCTCTTTGCGGCTGAGTGGCCCATTGTTCAAGACCACGTCCTTCTCCTCTGCCGCCCAGGCAGGTGCCAAAGCACTTTCCAGGCTCATTGCCGCCAACGAGCTCTGCAGCACTTGCCGGCGGCTGCTCCGGTCTCGGACACTGGACATGACTGTCCAGTCAATTCACAGGGTTTGCTGTTAGTGTTCTCAAACAAAAAACGCAGGTGTGGGCAAACACACTTCACTAGCCTGTGTTGAAACACTGACTCCCATGTTTAAATTTTGCGTGGATCCACATATCTTCTGCGTTTAGAAGTATAGGTCGTTAGACATCCCTAACCGAAGGTATGTCGTGATTATGTGACCCCTAAGTATATAGCGTTCTGTTTGCCACCCACAAACCACATCCATTCCATTCCCACCTTCACACTCGTTCTGAGCGCTCGCCCCACATTCAGCCACAGCGAAGGCTCGACTGCGCAGTGCCACGACCAGCGCTGCGCCGGCCAGCAGCGTCGCCGCACGGCGCGGTGCGACACCGCGACGCGTAGCGGTTCTGCCGCGGTGCGCCGCCATGACGGTTCGGGGCGAGTGGAGCGGTTGGGCCGCAACGCTGCAGAAGCCGTTCGGCAGCTGTATTGAGCCAAACCCAGACCATCCAAGTATGGAATAATTGCTTACGTTAGGGACAGAACATGGATGTTCTGGGAATGGTCGACATGTGAAAAGATGTTGAGGGCTGCATTCCGGGGAGCTTTTCCATCCAAGGTCACCTCCTGCAACATAGGACGGGAGAATTATTCCATCACACACCATTAAATTTGTATCTTAACCTTTATGCATCTTTATGCTATTAACAACCCGGGCATTGCTTAGAGTCTGCTGTGTCGCACAACCATTTATGATCTGAATCTTTCTATACGTACATGGTTCTTATACCAATCATCTGGTCTGCTTTTAAAGAAGTTGATAGGTTGATTTCGACAAATATTGCATAGGTGCTGACTAGGTGCTGACAGACAGGCAAACCCTCGTTACTCCACTCCACCACTAATAAGGTTGAAGTTGATAAGTTTTTAGTTGTTATTCAGAAGCCTCGATCCTAATAGCAATGGCCTCATTTGCAAAGAGTCAGATTTAATAGCTGGAACCCTGAGGTGAACACCATCTTGGATGGTCTGTGGCTGTTGGAAACAGATAAATATCAAGTAGTCACGACGTACAGCATCACTTGGTGGGCCCGGCAATCAGAACAATATTTGATGTTTTTCAGGAAGACTGTGATCTACCAAGTGGCGAGCGTCGCAAGCCCTTACAACCATCACTACCGCTAGCGATTGCTCTAGTGGGATTTTGATTTTGCTGGAGCACCCTCAAAGTAGCGACGGTCGCAGTCACTTGTTGCGAAGGACAGTCTTTTGAACCAGGTCCAGTGAAATCATGACCCCGCTGTGCGTCTCACTACCGCTAGCGATGGTTCTACCAGACTGCGACCGTCGCAACCTGGTAGATCACAGCTTTCCTTAAAAGCACCAAATATTTTTTTTCCGGATCAGTGGCTCTGTGGGTACCTCCAGAGGTTGTCACCTGCGGTTGAAGTGGATGGAGTGGAATCGAGCGGGTTGGAGTGCAAGCTCCAAAGTGATTGTTATTATTATAAGGTCCTGACTGGTGGGGTCTTTGAAAAGATATTTGAGAGATGTGACCCAATTGAATTGGGAATGGTGGAGTGTGGTGGAGTGGGCTGGACTGGACTGGATTGGAGTAACGAGGGTTTGCCTGTCTGTCAGCACCTATGCAATATTTTTTGGAAATCAACTTATCAACTTCTTTAAAAGCAGACCAGTCATTGGCCCATCGAAATGAGAGTCATGTCTGCATCTCCGATGTTCCAACCCTGCCCGATGTTCGGAGCAAGTCCGCTCATTTCCCACGAGAAATGACTGAACACCACCGAACAACCATAAGAAGTCCTGTGATTCGTCACCGGCCACGGAAGACAGGCTTCCCTGCTTCCCGGAAGAGGGTTCTGGGGTGAAGGTTGAGGGTTCGTCCAGGTGCCTGCGACCTTCTGAGGGTTCTGTTCTTTTTGTGTTTTTAAACTTGTTTAGACCATCCAGCTTGGATGGTCATCCTATGAGGTACGGATAGGTACAGTAACCGAACCACATGGTGCGGAGCACGGCTCCGCATTTCTGAATGCAATTGGCTCCTATGTACTATATATGGATCCGCGACAGCTGACCATGTCAGGTGGATCGGAGAAAATCTCCGACAGCTCCGCAAGAAGAAATCAAAGTCTCTGTGTTTGGCGTTTGGTAAACCTCCCACTCTTTCTTTTGGGGGCCAAAAAGAGGCATAGTGCGGCATGGGCAAAATCTGCGGGAAGCAACAAAAGAACAATTGACCAACTGTTACAAGGAGAGTGCGACAAACAAATTTACGACTCTGAATTAGTCGAAACAAACAACAAACTTTAGAAGGTGGATCTTTGCACCCTGGCAGCCTTCAGGTCTTGACAGCTTCATTTCTTTCGGCCTTGGAACGTATGACTCCCTGCCAACATGGACGTGGAGTTCATCCCCTGTTTGTAGAGGATGTCATGGTCTTTCCAGGGGTTCCATGATTTTTTCGAGCGTCAACACCGCTCTGACCGACCCCGACAGGAAGTCAGCTCGCCCTCCCAGTGCGCCAAGGTCACAGGTCTTTTCGGGTTTTGCGCAGGAGGAACTTCAGGTTTTGCACGCGCTCTGATGGGCCACAGCTGACGGGTTTTTGTGCACTCAGCTGAAAACGAAAGCGGAAGACATGGGAAAGACCATGACATGTTCTGCCTAACAGGGGGTTGTTCACTTCAATGTTTTGTGGCAGGGAGTGTTGTTCTTCCAAATGTCCAGATGCTGTTCACTGACTTCTGAAAGGGAAGTGCTTGTTGAAAACGACAAACTGACAAGCAAGGTCATTATATAGTTATTAGCTGTATATATATATAGTTATATATATTACTTAAACATACCTATATAACTAATAGGGGATTCCTCTAGGGTAAGAAACATCCAATGTGAGTGCAAATGGAATGTTTTTGTGGAAGGGGATCACTGGCATCTGGAGGTGAATCAAACCTTCAACAATTGTATTTTACCTGCACTCCGTTCCTATCTTTATAAAGTGGTTCCCCAATAGAAACTTTACAGGGTATTATAGGATACTACTTTGAAACGATCTATGGAACTTTGCCATGGATTCTTCGCTCAGAATCCGACTCACCGGATCGGACGCAGGACTACACCAGGACTGGCTGAAATCCTTGTTTACATCAAACAGGTTTTAAACAATAACAATACAACAAGAAGACGTGACACGGAAAAGGGAAACCACAACTCGACCCTGCCAAAAAAGATCCTTCTACAAACCAGTGGCACGTGGGTGTCCGAAGATGTATCGTTTTTCCTGTGTGGCTGGGACTCAAGCACCCATCGAGAGGAGGACCTCACCTAACCAAACCATACGTACCCCAATAGCGTTTAAACATATAGCCCAAATACACCACGACAAGGTGGAATTGGGGTGAGTTAGAAACAACTGTGGGATTATATTCCACTGCCCGTAACAGTGGATCATGATGGTCAAAGCCTTTCCCAAAAAGAGTCCTATTCTGTTGCTGGTAATGGGACACACCCTGGGTATATATAATAACTACCTGTCATGTTGAGGAATATCTATATAATGGTTCCTGCTGACATCCCTGAGGGAATGAAACCTGTCGACGGTCATAGGCTGTCACCACGGCTAAGCCGTCAACGTCCGCTCCTGGTGGCCCAGATCACGTCAGACGACGTCAGACGACGTCAGACGACGGACGGCAGTCGTCGTCTTCGACTCCAGAGCTGGCACTGCCTGTCCACCAAAAGTGGTTTCTTCAGACTTGGTGCCAGACCCTGAAAGAGACGAAAAGGCCATGGGTCGCTCTTGGAGCCAGGGCAATCTCCTCATGTTCGAGCAGAAACCCCGGACCACTCAATCTCCTGGAAACGGAACAAGCTGGTGCTGGATGGTCGCCCAGATTCGTTCTTGGCAGTTGGTTTCTTCAACAAAAGGAAGAAACACCCATATGAATCAACAAGTTTGGTCCCAGCACCTTGGCCAGTTGTTTCCGGACGACGGAACTGGTTTTGTGCTAAAATATGGACATCTGGTGATGTGAGAACACCAGGCTCAACGTCTGGGATCACGTTGGAAACCCAAGAGAGGCTCCGGCCAAAGTTCCGGCTGTCCGAGCCGAAAGATCCGAAAGCACCTTTTTTCGCTGTCCCTCTCCGGGCAGGTTACATCGCCGTACAATTTGATACCCCGATTAAAAGAACACAGGATCAATGAAGCCATGTTCATTTCAGAGCTTTATCCAAAAGTCCTCAGCCAAGACGGCCCTGCCAAAAAAAGGCAGGTTCCGACTACAGAGAGGCCCACGCACAGGCACAGACCCAAGCACGACCAAGCGAGGGTTCCGACTTTGATGGCAGCATGTTGTTGTTGATCTTACATAGAGATCTGCCGTCTGCAAAGGAACCCTGTTCATGTTGAAAAGTGAAGACTTGTCTACTCATGCAGGATCAATTTGGAGATGATGATTGCACAAAGGGCATCTGTGATTGCCGGTGGTGAACCACTTCTTGATGCAAAAGTCATGATAGTCATGACCACAAGGCAAACGCACCACCTCAGCTCTGCGTATTTTGGGCAACCTTTGCAATTCCCTCTGGTTTGTTTGCTGATGTTTTGCCGCTGACACTCTGGTTCTGGACTGGTTGAAACGGAGTCCATGGGTATCAAATCCATACATGGAGTGTTCTCCCCTGTTCCGCGTGGCAACATAACGCAAAAGGTGACCCTCTAAGAACAGCTAGAGCTAGCGGAGCGCGCCGAGTCCATGACGTGTCTCCAACCCCTACGTCGCCTATGTTCCGGACCACGCTTCGTCGTTCAGTCTGCTGCAGCAGGAGGTCGTGATGGCCGTGCACAGTTCTTCAGACGAGGCACGCGGGCATCCAGATCCTGGTGGCAAATCGAGCATCCTTCGGCCAAATCCGTCACGTCCACCGGTTGGACGATGGCATCCACTGCAGCGTAGAGACTCTGCTGCTGCTCAAAGACCTCATAGGCCACTTGCTGAAGGACTGTGAGGACAGAGCAAATGCACATGTCAATCGAAGTCGCTTGCAGGATCTGTTCCTGTGGCGACTCGTCGCGGGAGTTTCAAAAGAAGAGTGCGCGCGAGTTCCCTATGATATGTGACAGGCCCTACCCTGAGCAACATAGCAACCCACTAATTCAGGTTGGCCATAAAAAATAACCATAATAACAAAGACTAATGATAGTACCTCTGCCTCTTGCAGTGGCTAGTTTTGGGGATGCCAACAGGAGCTTGAGGAACAACATGACTTAAACTGAAACGCACGACTTATGATTCTTATGCATAAATTGTGCTAAACAACCTATTTTGCGGAGTCCAAATGACCTAGTTCCTCTAGGTTAGGTGGGTCATTGGACTTATTGGGATTGTAAAACTGGAAATCTATCTGGATGGTTCAATTTGTTTCAAGTTTTGTTGCCAATCCTCATATCTTCCCTTAGCTGGATCAGCAGAGTGCTCGAACCAGGCTTTCGCATTACTCTATGGAGTATTTTAATGCCTTGACCAAATATCTTCAGGATGTGGCAATTGAGTTCGTTCTCGAAGGACCAAAGATTCCCTGAGTACTTGTGTTCTTCGATTTTGTTGGGTCCAACCCCGGTTTACCTGAGTGGAATGTTCCGGATGTGACCTCTTCAATTTCACCTTAACTGCAGATCAAAGTTGGGTTCCGAAGGTTTGGTCAGCGGTCAATTTGCTTCTTATCCTCACTGCGCCAACCTTCGTGAGTTGCATTTTGGCAAGCTTGCTGGCTTCGTCGGTTTTATTCCAAGCCTCTCTCATCTCACAGAGTCACTTACTTGTGCGTTGATGCTTCCATTTAGTTGTGTGACTCTTCCAAGGGCCCGGGTGGTTCTTGTAATCTTGTGCGTCGTCCTTTTTCTTGTTTGGGATCAATTCCGGCTTTCGCTAATTCGTCCTTCTTTAATCTCACTTCGTTCGTGCTGAGCTTCCGGTGCAGCTCTCAGGGCATCAGGTTGGATGGTTCCTATTCGGTCCACCACTCACTTGCGACGACACTTTTCACATCACTTGCGACGACGCTGAGCACAATGTTTTTAAAATTCACTTGCAACGACAACAGCATCACCAGTATCATGGGTGGGGTGGGGTGGGGTGAGGGAATCACCTTCCTATTCTGTGGACGGAAATTGGAACCGCAGCTTACTTGATTGGCCGAAACAACCCAGGCTACAACCGTCGATGAACCGTTGGGGACTATAAGATCGACTCCGATCGACTTCGATCTGGGCAAGCCTTCATTTAACTCTTTTTAAACACGAAATGCGTGATCGTCATTCAAACTGGGCCCCCAAACCAATGATCCAATGGGTTTCTTATGTTTTTTTGGCAACTGGTTCTCCTCCGGGTGCCTGTCTCCCCTCGGATCGGTCATAAAAAAGACACCGGGTTGGTGTCCCGGTTTGAAGCACGGTCCCAAAAACAACGATTGACCCGGTTTGAAGCGTAACATCCGTAGTCAAACAGTGGTGATGACTATAGTAGAGCTGAATAATGGTGGTTGGAACATGTTGGAACCGGAAGTCCATCTTGTACGTTCAAGTTCAACCCACACGACTCCATGTTTGGAGACCATGCACCAATAGCCTCAATAGCCTTTTCCTCTCCAGCCATGTCTGGCTTCGACCACCGTCGCCACCGTCCCCGTCGTTCACCGGTCACGTACACCGACGTCGTTTCCGTCGTTTCCGTCGTTTCCCGTGACTCAGCACCTTCATGTTCGCATGATCTGTGAAGCCGTTGATCTCGAGGATCACATGGCCCGCTTTGATGGAACTCCTGGGATTCGCATCATTCCATGTCTTCACGGCCAAGGACTGTTTCGTCTCCGTGATCAAGAAGCCTCATATATGGGGGGCGGGGGCTTGGTGATCGTCACCGGAGTGGGAACAAACTGCAAGTGTATGATGAAAGGGGTGGTATGTCGAATGTGGCACAGCAACTCCACCCATCTCCAACCCCAATCAAGCCGCAAAAACAGGTTCATCCTTGCCATGTCTTGCCATGAACCGTCACTGGGGCACAACTTAACTTGACTGTGATTTTGATATATGTTAATTTATTGTTAATTAATATATGACATATAGACTAGATCATCATTCACCCCTTTGTATTGACACTCCAAAACTCGAAGCGCCTTCGATCTCACGATGAATGGCCAGCTTCATTTGCCATGGCGTATCGCTCCTGGTACGCTTCAGCTGGCAGCGATAGGTCTCGGCACTGCTGACACCGAAGGTGTTCTCCACATCGAAGGCATCGCTCGCTGTACGGCATGAGAACGCTTTTCCCATGGCATCGATTGCGCGATCAGGACCGAAGATACCAAAGAGGCCGCGTATCTGTGGTATCTGGTGCGAGTCTGTTGCCTTCTGTGTGGGTTATTTGCTGCTTGATCAAGTAGGTCTATCATATCCCGTTTTGGGATCTAACTACATACATGTTGGGCAGGTTGTTTGACGCGCCAAAACAGCAAACGTGGCTGGAGAAACCCTTTTCCGCTGTCGATGGCCATGGCTGAAGTGAACTGACCACAGCAGGAACTCTTACCGCTTCCGTATCGCTCTGCAAACCGAAAGCAGAAGAAAGAATCAAAGTGTGCAGAAGAAACTAAGACAAGGAAGTTCCAATTATGGAAAACATGGTATCCTCCGGTGTCTGTTACTTTCAATCAATTGCCGTTAGTTCCAAATCAAAAGCAGCCAGATCGAAACCCACGAAAGATCGATGTGGATCTCACCCGTGGGACCGTTGTGCCACATATGAAGAACTTAGAGTATATTCACCATGGAGTATCAGCATCATCTGGAAAAAAAAAAAAAAACTACTAGTGATGGCCTCCAACCTACTAGCGAAGCACTTGGAGGTATGAAATCCAGACTTCAATATTTGGTGGTAGAAGACCATGCCACCAGCTGCGCTGGCAATCAGTAAGTTTCTATAGATCTATATCCTTTGGTCGGACTGCCCACTCGAGTGAGTGGCAAGAGCAAGACAATGACAATGACGGTGTGGATTTAAACATATATATTTAAACTGCTTGGAGACCTCCCACCGAGGCCCTACAAGACAATAGACTCTATATTATATAGATAGACCAACAATAATATTGGTTGGGCGAATGCTGGGAATTGGCAGTTGGCTGAAACCATGACAACAAGCAAAGCTGCAAAACGCATTGGTTGGAGGGTCTCCGTATGTCAATACACACCCATGTTGAGCTGCATGTCTTCGTGTCCTCCACAACCAAACAAGTCACTGGCAATTCGCCTGGCACGGAGAGATACAGGGTCACTCGGAAAAAACTGGCCTTCTTTGCGTGGTTGCGCCACTTATTTATTTGGGTCTTTCCGGATCGAACCCAACGTCATGGCCGTGTCCCGGAAACTCCCAGGTCCGGTCGGTCCGGCTACACTCGTTGGAAGGCTATAGTCGTTTGGACCCGATGGAAGGGGTCTGAAGCATTGGTGATGGCAGTGGCTGGTCTTCCATACTCTCCAGAATCATGTCACTACACATAGACTGTTGATTCATAAAGCCCCTCCGATCTCCAGGCCTTAGGAGGTTCATTCATCAGCATGTCTACAGTGGAAGCCACCCATCCCCGGTTCTTCTGCAGCTCCAGTGGCCACCAAGCGCGCCACTCCCGAGCGGCCCAAGCCACCTGAGCAAGCGCCCAAAGGTGGCTGTTGTTGCTCGAACCATGATGTTTCCATGCTCAGTGTCGATTCGTTTTGCTGTTTCTGTTGGAGTTCTTTGGTTCTGACCTGCCCATTCTGCAGTTGATGTGATCAACTGCTAAAGTTGACAGTTCTGTGTAGTTGTGGCCTTCTGTGAAGAACAAAGCCATTGCTGGACGCTCCGATTCGTTCATTCGTTTCGGTCTCTATCGAGGGTCGTTCGTTCTCGGAGCTTTTTCGGGACCTGCAGTGGCGCAAGAGGAATGCCCCGCATCTGGAGAATCCTAAAACCTGCAGATAAGTGAGAATCCATTGGAGAAGCCAAAATGGAGGAGAACCCTAAAATTCTGCATCTGGAGAATCCAATGGAGAAATCAAAATGCAATCTACTATTACAAATTATATATAGATCAACAAGCCGAAAAGTTCGGAGCCTCTACCCAGACTCTACCGCACATGTACACCCCAATAGCCTACCTGCGAATGTTAATGTATTTGTTGACTATAGGCTTGGATCCACTGTTACGTACATGTGTATGCCATGATTATAAAACATATTAAAACCTCTCATGTGGGCCAGTGGTCATATGTAGGTGGGGGTGTTATAGCAAATCCACGACCAAGTGCTTAGATCATGACTATACCAGGGCCACACCATGCCTTGCCGACTTCGTCAAATCCACAGAGCTATCCGAGGTGACATGAGAAACACCCAAAGATCCGTTTGAGTCCTCTTGCGTTTTACAATGGTCTCGATCCACCTGGAGACTCCTAACGTGTCAAAAAACAAACACACATTTCCTCAGCTCTTGTAGCTATTGTGCTATAAAAGCACAAGTGCATACGTTTTAGACACAGTTCAAGCATGTTCAAGCCAAAAAGCATCAAAAAGCAATCACACTTCTACCCAACGCAGCTGAGATCCGATCTACCCACATCTACCTAGTCCCTCTGCGATGGTCGGTCGCACGTTGTCACCGTCAATTCGCGGTTCAGAACGGGAGGGTCTTCACTGGGCTTTCCGGGCTCTCCAAGAGCTCCTCCAGGGCCTGACGAGGTCCGATTCCGTTCGCGCTTCGAGGGGTGGGCGGGGGGGAGACGGGCTGACCTTTCCCGGAAAGGCCAGCAAGGTCGGGTTCCGAAGCGTGAAAAGATCTGCAGATCTGCCTTTTTGAACGAGGACTGATTCCAATCCCTCCTTTAGTGACTGATCAATCTCTTGTGGTGAATCACAACCATGGTCCTGGTTGTCAAACTTGAGTTCGTGCTTGGTTCCACTATTGGTTATCAAACAGCTCGGTCTTACTCTGCTCATGATGGGGTTGTTTTAAAAGACCGTTAGTAGCAAGGACGCTAATAGGTGGAGGCCATCGCAAGTAGGTTGGAGTTGGAGGCCATTACTACTAGTAGCAAGAAGCTACTAGGTTGGAAGCGAAAAGATTGTCCTAAACAGTTCTCAGGTGCTGACAACACGTGTTTCCACTTCCGACCACCTCCGGAGGATGAATTCCCCAACGACTGGTAGCGGAGGAAGATCCCGACGGTTTGTTCCGGATTCATCTAGACAGGCAGTCTTCTACCAGTTGTTGAAATTAAGGCAACGTATCGTTTCATCACAATAGTGAGATCTGGCCAATTCGGATGGAACACGTCAACTGCTAAGAGCATTGGTGGCGGTTCCAACTCCAAAATACGCCCACCTAGACGCCCACCGACGCATATGCGGTTTTGCAGCGCCACCAGTTGATGGCTGAGCTCGTCAGCTCTGGGCGGAGTCTCGTGGCTCCGAGCCTGAATGCCACTGAGTTCCGAGAAGCCCAGAGTGCGCTGTAGGGCCTGAGGTTGTGCCGGCGGAAGTATCCGATGAACCGGCACCCCCGGTGGCCGGTCGGTGGTTGGAGCGACGTAAACAAACCTTGCTGGCGGCCAGCTGCGTGTAGAACCATGATCAACCTTACCAACGCTCTGGTCCATGCAAGTGTAATTTGTCCTTGACCACTACCCGTGAAACGCACAGTCCTTGGAATCAGTCTCTGGGAAGTCTGAAACGCACAGTGTCCGCAATGATGTCCTCTTTGTCGATCCTCTTCACCTTTCTTGTTCCCCTTGCGTTCGGCAGCGAAGTTCGCTTTGCGGCACTAGCTTTGAACGTTTCCATCGATGTGTCTCAGTCCTTCACCAAACAATCGCAGGTTGATGAAAGGAAGAAGAGTCAAGAGCCCTCAAAGGGAACTCTGATTGGAATTTGCCTTGAGTTGTGCAACTCAGTCGTCGAATGGGATTCAGGAGTTTCCCAAGGGTTATGACATGTTATGACCTCTCTGCGAAAAGGATGCTTATATTGCTTATAATTAGGTAAGAAGACCAGGACAACTCCGATCGATGCTTTTCCGAACAACTAGTTATGATGCAAAACATGACCGATCGATGGTTCGATTAAACTGGGAAAAATGACGGGTCGAGCGCCGGTGATTTTGATGTGTTCCTCCCTGACCCGATCCAAACACACCGTCCCAGTCGTGGAGGATCCGAATCGTGTTCCACGAACACGAACCGCATTCGTGGGCCAAAAACAATGGTGACCCTGGTGCGGCTTCTGGATTTTTCTGCTGAATTTTGAGGATGTGAGAACTCCTAAGTTCCTGACGGGCAGTGGCAGTGTCTTCCCATAATCTTGACCTTGGGAAGTCGTCCGCTCTGGCTGGAGAGATGTCGAAGCAAAACAGCCACCACCGAGCTCGACATGTGAGTTCAGATTCTGGAGTCTGTGTAGTGGATCTGTTTAAGGGTCGATGTTTTAATTGTTATGTTTTTTGTTTTTTTTTTTTCTGGGTAGATCCTGGGCTCCAATAGCATGATTGATTGGAGAGCTTACGCGTACAATAACAATGCCTTTCACAAAACAAATCAAACGTAGATTTTCTATTGGTTTCGAAGTGATGCTTGCTTCGCAAAAATGTTCATCAGCTTGAAACTCGGATCATCTCGGATCAGTTATATCAGTTAGAGTTCTCCATCGTTCCATCTCTTCGTTTCTTCCACTGCTTCTTCTGACTTCACAGCGCTTCTTTGGTGGGTCTCCGGCTGCAACGCACCACCAGGCTATGCAGGAAGTGCACCTCAGAACGGCCGAACTTGGCGACCGACCGGCAAGGACGACTGAAGAGCCCGAAGGAGAATGGGTGGGTATGAGAATGGAGAGACCCTCCAACATCCTCCAACTATGGGTGGATGCTCAATGGATGTTCCTTCCCAAATGTTCTTTGGGAGGTCTCCCTATTTCGATACACATCCTGTGACTCTGTCGAGTACGCCAAGTCCACAATGCAGGGGTCGAATCCTGCCATTGACAGTACGGATTCATGGGAGAAAGGGTCATTCGGTCATTCTGAACCTGTTTTTCTTATATTGCTATTCAGCTCAGGAGGGGAACCCACAATGGCTTCAATTTTTAATCCTTGACTTGCGCCGCATCGCTAGTTCATCCGGATAGATTGACAAATGTCCACTATTAAAAATGACATGCATGTCATTTCAGTTGAAAACGTTGGGGACGCCCTTCTTCAGGTCTAAGAACCCCCAAGATGAATGCAAATACTGGAGGGTCCCGAGTGGAGAATTCTTCCCTCCCTCGGAATCCAAGCCCTGGAACATTTGACAATTTGATGAGTGACCCTTGCCAAAGCCCGCTTGGCACCCCACAATGGCATTTTTTCACCATACATTATATAGTAAATAGTATATACCCTGCCCTTCCACCCACATGGAAAACAAAAGACGTTAATAGAACCCCGTTTGTCTGTTTGTAGGAAAGTGGTTCACGCCAATCTTTGCGTATCACAGTCATCCACGCTCTTTTCTCCCTACTGCATACACACGATCATCCGCGCTTTTGCGCAAGTCTTGCCGCCACATGCCTGTTGAACCTCAGAGCGGAGGCTCAATTGCAGAAGATGAGCTAAAGAGCAATCATGAGAGCACAATAGGCCGGGTTATACACAATCCAACCAGTAGCTCTCCAGGCAAACATGGCAGTTTAACTAGTAGGCTCCCTTAATAACCAAACTGGACAGCATGATCTGCTCCGGCAGGCTTGCTGACCAGTAGCTGCTTGATCTTCAAATGAGATGACCAAATCCTGGAGTTTGAACAAAGGCATTTGCTAGCTCCCACTATCTAGTACATGTAAGTCAAAACTCGATCTAGTAAGCGACATGTCACATGCATCAAAGTCCTCAGTTTTCCGCAACGCATGATCCAGCGCACGGCACGCGTAGGATGGGCCTTCAGATAGGTGCCTCAGCCCCATAAAGAGCTGGATCCATGTTAGTTAGGATACAGGCTTGATCGACTTTCATTCACAAGACTACTTCGCTTGTTTGAACCCATCTGGACTTCTCATGACAAGATCTTAAGAGACATCGTTCACATATGCATGATCCGGATTAGCTAGCGATAGTATAGCGCGCAATAGGTGCGAAGCTAGCAACTCTTGATCCACGCCATTCCATCCTCATCTGTGAAGCCATGAAAGAACCGCGGGTTGCTTCCTCAGCTGCTACGTACGAGACATGGGACTAAATGGGCGTCGTGTCTCAAACTTAAAATAATTTGGCTAGGCTCTGCGGTCCCGAATGCAGACCAGAAGGTGCCACAATGCCTGAGTGGGATGGAAAGGGTCGTACAGATCACACGTGTATGTCGTGTGCAGTATCATATATGGGAGGGTGCATCTTTGGTGGGAACCACTGGGCAAAATAGATTCCCTTTGCATCCAAAGACACATGGCATTTCGGTCGCAAAAACCACTCTTGAATTCCAAGCCTGGATGCGTGAGATCATCTGGGAGGAAAGACCGGACGCAGTGATTTGCTGCATGCATGGCTGTGTGAATAATGTTCCACTGAACATGGGATGTGTGCACTGAGTTGATCGACATGTATGAAAGGAGTCACAGAGCCTCAACGACATATATGTCAGGCGCTTGTAGAGCTTCAGGAACTGGCAGCCATCATCAAAAATGGTCCGAGATTCTTCGTCAGTCCTAAGGGTTTTCGATCATGACTATGCATGATACTGTACGTATATAACACTTCAGGGTCAAATCTGATAAACTCCAATCCTTTTGGTCTTTGACATTGATGGACCATTTCATGACAACAATATACAACAATGCTAAGTATCGTAGCTGCATACGATCCCAGCCCCCCACACACACACAAATTGCCAAGTCTCAGATAACGGCCCGCTTGCTCAAGCCCGCTCAGGAATCTGGTCATGCGCAGCCTTGGAAGGAGCGACGGGATTCAACTGAAGTGTTTTCATTTGGTGCCGGAATGGGTGTGTATTGGGACCCGGACAACAAAACTAAAATTCTGACCAAAACTGACTTGAAAAAAGTGTCAATGCAGCAGCAATGACAGGGAATCGATGATCACATGCTACGAAGCCAGGCGAAGTGCTTGCCACATACACTTCATGAGATAACCAATGCAACACCACACGGCCATTATAGGCTTTGGCTGTAAAGAGAATGTCAGAGTTCTTCTTGAAGATCTGGGCAAGTTAAATTGTTGAACGATTCCGTCAAAAACACCGGCAATTGGTTTAATTAATATATATGGGTGAGCAGAACAACAACAACAACATAGGCAGTCCCAGATAAAGCTGCAAACATTGCAAAGTTGATCGCTTCAGCTGACAAAACAATACTTAATTTGACAGATCAAGGATCCATTCTCTCCGTGAATGGTGGCTGGCTACACTCAATCTTGTTCGCTGATGTCCAAGCTTTGAACATTTCGAAGGCCCTAGCTAGCTTGATCGCCACCGAAACCCCATCGCTGCCAAAGTAGCCACATCGAAGGAGGAGATTCCTTGGAAGGCTGCAGGATCATTGCAAAGGGTAATGATGCATGATGCATATAGCATGTGTCAGACGAGGCTAAACAAAGTGCCTTGCCCTCTCGACACTATTGCGACGAACAAAAACAAGACAAAATTTAATCTTACCAGGTGAGTGACAGGCCTGATCCATTGCAAACAAAAAGAATACCCAAGTGCACCACATGCATTAGGCACCAGCGTATTAGGCTTGGGTGGAAATTTCGAAGCCCAATATAAGGACCTTGGTGATGAACCAACAACTAATAATCGACAGATCTCAAAAGCAACAAATATCACCAAAATGATACAGGGAAAAAAATACATCAAAATCCAGGAAACAAATACCAGCAGGTGGCATCCGTTCTTCTAAGAACTCTCCCTTTGTGAAATGACTGGCATCCCAGTTGTTGTTTTCAAACGACCAGTACAGGTCACTTGGGTCATTTGATTGCGACAAAGCCCTGCACCAGTAGCAAACCTTCTTGCCATTCCAGGAGCACTGCCAAAAACGAAAGGTGCGTTTGTGCCACTGCCAGTCTCCCCTGATTTCTGTCAGCATGCATTTGTACTTGAACTGTTTTCCAGCTAGTTGGGCCAAATGCTTGGGCAGATCTTCACCAAAAGGCTCATTGCGAGGATGGAATCCATCCATCAAGCTGTTCAAGCTCCAAGTCACCCGACGTAATATTGTATTCAAGGTATGATGGCGCCAACACTTTTCCTCGGGCAGAACTGCCACCAAGAATCTGCTTGCGCGAACGGATTGGGGTTTCCACAGCGGTATGTTGAAATATATTCCAATCAGGTTGATGGATCCGAACTTGGTGTTCACACGCGCCCCATCGCCATACACTCCAAGGGGCACTGTATCAGAAGGCACGCCTTGTGCCCAATGCTCACCATGCTCACTATTGAACTCCCAATACTCCCTCAAGCTTCCTGTTGGAATCTTGAGTCCAGCAAACTCAAATAAGAAGTGCGCGATTGAATGCGGGTCCATGACGGGCCAGCTCTCCATTTTGTATTTGTCAACGCCGTCATCCAAGTCTGTGTACTTGGTGGGGATCAACATTTGTTCAATGGCCTTGCAAGTACGGTACGTGCATGCAGTCATTGGAGATGCAATGACGATATCATGCAGCTTGAACACTTTCATATTTGTTGTCCGGGGTGGAATCCCATGCATGAGGAGATAAGGCATGGGAACAAAATGGACATGTGACATAATTTAAAAGGTTGCACGATGATCTCCCAGGAACTGGACCATCCTTCATCATTCTCCACCAATCCCTGGAGTTATTCTTTCCAGACATCTCACCCAGCCGCTTGGTCATGCTGTGACTGCTGTAGTTGTTGCAATCCTGGTGGATGATAGGAGTGGGCTAAATTTATTTATTAATTTAGGTATGCAGTTGTTAAGTTAGTACCAACATGCATTATCAACTGTCGAAAGTGTTGAACATAGGGTAGATCATCATGGTCAATACAATAATAGAATTTATATATAGATCGATCATGATCAAGATTGGCAAGAAGGACTTGACAGGAATGAGCACCCCATGAGTCATGTTGACAACATGGTTGCCTAGGCGGTTTTCAGAATACGCCCACAGCCCAGCAAACGATCTCAGGTCCTTATGCACTGGAGTGTGCGCGTACACAGTGTTATTAAAAAATAGACTAGCTGATACCAGGCCAACTGCATATCACATATGTGTTGACCACATCTCGAAACGTACATGAATCTGTCCAACCAAAACCAAAATACTTTTGAGCCCGTGGACTAGACCTGTAAAGTATTTGCTAGGACTGTTTTGCACTCTGGGCCACTACCACCCAATCAACCAAAGAGCCTGTATATCGATCGAGCATCGATCACTACAGTGCGGACAAGGAGCCTGCACATGAGCTTTGAGAGACCGCATTTGTTTGCCAGCAGTCGAGCCCTCAGCATTGGCAATGCGATGAGGCTGCCAAATAGGGACCAATTGTGGGTACTTTGGAAGAATGATCCACTGAGATCCACTGAGGATCTAATCAGGATTTGGGACATTGTGAACATTATATATGCCAGACTGTTTGAACCATGGTTTTTCTAGTTGAGCTGAGTCGGGGTATCAGCCACCAAACACAATTTCAACTTTTATGATGGTCATGGTAAGTAGTTGGAGAATTAGATCAGTTAAAAGTTGGTCCATTGGAGGACGAGGTTGAATTGACAACCTTTGCTTGTATAGTCAAGGGGCTCCACTGCTAACTTCAGCGATAGCATTCTGCAGTGACGCGGAAATACGGTGTTCATCATCATCGTCTTCACCTGCGCAGGGTAGGTTGCATTTTTCACATGATCCATGCACCCCCACACATGCAGTCTCGACCATGATATAACGATGCCCGGGTTGATCGAGAAAGACTGAACTAATAAAGAAAACACAAATATTTATAATGTTTCTGACATGACTGACTGCCCACCAAGTGGATCTGGATACTACCTAGCTGGTTGGGCAAATCATGCATGACTTGGATCCTGCTCAGACGATCTTTTTGATCTTTTTGAGCCAAGGGCCAAGAGATTCGATCTATCTAGATCTGCCAAAAAGGTCACATTGTAGTTGTTGTGACCTCACACCATCATGATCCTGGATCAGTGGTGACCCTCTATCCCAAAACGCTGCGAGCGGTTCCTGAAAACTTTGCCTGCCTGATTGACTCCCATGGTGGAGGCTTTTGGCCAGTTCATGTCACTCATTTCCGAAGGCATTATGAGATTGAACCAAAAACATTTGGTGGGCAATTTGTCAAAATGACCATCTGAAAACTTCACCAACCCTCCACCCCTTGCAACCCTATGCAGACGTAGCCAGCAGTACTATACCGCTCTTACACAGCCAGCGCTGCGCTCCATCCACCAATGTGGCACGATGGCTATTTCAGATTTGACCTTGTCAAGAAATCTTTAAAAGCAACCTCCAGCTTATCACCTTGGTCGATGACATTTGGCAGGTCACGGACCTAAGTAACGACAATCGAATTCATCCGCAAGCACACAAATTGCATTGATCCAATATGAGTCTTGTGCACAGTACTTGCATGCATGCGTGCATGTACCTGCACCAAATTTTCCAACAACAGTTAGGACGAGTTGATTTGATAGTTCCCCTAAAGATCTGAACTCATGCAAGTGGCATCCAAGCCATCAACCTTCTTCCGGTGGAGCTTTGCCTGAGATATGTGGATGTTTGGGTGTGGCAGTGACATCAGTGACATCACCATATCAAGTTCACCGAAGATGCAACTGATTAACAAATTAATATCATACATTGCATGCACATGCATACTGTCCAGGCTCTATCATACCAAATATGTACAGATTCAATTCACACATGTGATTGAGCCCCCTTGAAAAAACAGTTGCATTGATCTTGATTAATTAGGCTATTGATCTGCGACCTAGCAACTCTGGATGTGCCGTGAGAAGCGCATGAAGCGGGCGTGGTTTGCCTTTTCCTGCTGTGTCTTTTCTCGCCTGGGTTTTCTTCCCGCCGGTTTGGTGGTCTCGACTGTTCCCTCCCCACCCCCAGCATCACCTTCCGGTTCACACTTCTCCTTGTCATGGACGACATGGTCCTCCTCATGCTGATCATCCTCCTCATTAGGTTCCTCACTGTCACCTGGCCCACTGTTCAAGGTCACCCTGGGATCGGGAGGTGCAGCCGGAGGTGAAGGTGCAGGTGTTCCTGGCAACTGCTGGCTTGACTCTGGGCGCCTCAGATTCTCGAGAGAGGCTATGGCAGCATGCCTTTGTCTAATCTCGCTTACAGGACCCGGAGTCGCCGGTGATTTTACGCCATCAGGTTCAGCCTTTACAGCAGGCGCTGCTTGAACGACAGCAGTGTCTCTCTTGGGTGCTGGCAAAGACTTTGCTGCTGTGGCTGGACCTGTGGTTTTTGGCACCGTGTTGCCCGTTGGCAGGGTTTGTGCAGTCTTTGTCGTCGATACATTTGGTTGCTGATCAGCTGGTGTCACAGGTTGAGCATGCAATAGCACAGCAGCAGGTGGAGGATCTGGTTGGTTGTGACTCAAAGTCATGTTTGATGTGGCACTCACGCCAGCTTTCAATTCCGGGTGTGCTGGTTCTGTCTTTGCCCGTTTCACTCGAACGGCAGGTTCTGTTTTCTGTCTGCTTGGTTCGTCTAATGCTGGTGCACTCGCATACCTCCGCATCTTGCACGGTGGTGTGACAATGCCATGGGTTAGGGCCAATGCCGACCTCAGCTCTGCCTGTGAAGCACCAACAGTCGATGCAGGGCTAGCTCCTGTAAGCAGCGCGCACAGTATATACTTATAATTCGAATGGTAGCTATATGATGCTATATGCACATATAAATATTCCAAAGGGGTTATATATTTTATAAATCGATTTAGTACCGTGTTAACTGTATGTATGCACAAACTGGATGAACCACATCAACATTTATCACATAGGCATCACATTTGCAACCCAGCACACCATGCACACCAATCCGGCATGGTTCATTTGAGCGTCGATCCATGAAAATTGTAAACTCTATTAAACAATCAAGGCAAGCCATGTGTGTCCACCCATAAGATCACTGCTGTATCAGCATCAAACGGTGGCTGGGCCAGATCAGTGGTCAACCTTGCGAGATCGGTCGACATGTGTTGTACCCACCATGGTGTTTTGTAAAATATGACACTGTTTGGCTGATACATGCTGATACCAGGAGGTCCATCAAGTATGCCATGGATGAGTTGAGTACGTCAGACTCCACCAATTGGGACACGTAACATAGCTGAACCCCACGGGAGCATGTCTGGAGATAGGCCAACATTGAGCAGCCGTTCCAAGCTAGTAGCAGCAGCATTTAGCTCGGCGTGCCTCCGAGCACGTGCTGCTGCTGCTGCCAGTGCTGCCCGCACCACATCATTGGGCTCAGCCATGACCCTCCGGACCCCAAAAACCCAGAAGGTGTCGCCAGAGCCTTTGAACCAAACCAGTTCACCCACTAGCAGTGATGCAGTGATTCCTTCATATTTCCAAGCGATCATTTGCCACATGTACACTTCAGTCCCAAACTCTGTTTTACGTGCGAACAGCAACAAACACTCGCATTGCTAAAATTCCAGTTGATCCAAAAAAGTGGATTTTGGGGGGTCCGTCGTTCACGCCCTCCCATGGGCGTTCACGCCCTCCCACTGTCGTTCACGATGGTTTCACGCCGGTTTCACGCGGTTTCACGCACCCCCCTCACCTCACCCCAATTTGTGATAGCACACATATGTTTTCCATTGTAGACCCAGTAGTCTGTAAAAGGTGGTATCTACTGGACGAAATGGACCTCAGTGTTGATGTTGCAGGAGGCTGCATTTAACACGCATGTTCTAGATTACAATCACAAACAGCAGCTAAAATCATTCGAGAGCAGTGTTTGTGGTACGGGTCATAATAGTTGTATTGCGCAGCAACTACCTGCAAAACACTTGGTGTGCAATCCAGTTTGGATCTAATTTGAACTGTGGTGGTAAATGTTGCCACCAGCATATATTACATTCTATCTCCTGATGGGAGGGATCTATGAGTGCTACCCCCTGACTTTTCAGGAGAGAGTGGGAGTGAGGGGCATGTTTCACACCACCTCCATGAGTCCCTTGGTCAAAAGGGGGCTGTAGCTACCTGCAGACTTCTCCTGCTGTAAGAAATTCATCACAGGTGTCAACCCAGCATGGCGCCAGCGGTAGGGTGCCTGGCCGTAGGATGCACCGTACGGCTAGATCATAAAGAATGTTGCGATCCAGGCATGGAATCATGATGGCTGTAATTACTATTACTGGACGATCGTAGGTGCATATTATCCATCGTGAATTTGGATCCCCAAAACACACATTATTAAATCTATTTGGGCCATGGGGTTCTACATCACGTACGTCTTGAGCAAACTCAGATGACCCACAGCCACTGACCATCACTGACCCTTGTAGTGCACAAAAGCAAGTTGGACAGCCATCCCAAACAGCCTTGTAGTTCACTGACCCGATGTCACTTTCTGAAGGCGGTGACCAGCTTCCAGAAGAGCAGGCCTCATGTGGGGCATGGTGCACGTCGTGGAGGGATGTGTGATTGTCAAACATCTTCTCCCAAAGTCGATTGATGTACTTTGCATGAAATATTACCGAGGTACCTTTTGGTGGAGATTGAACACCTTCTGGGCAAATCCCACAGGATAGGCAGCCGAAGCCTTCATGCCTGGACCCCCTTGCCTCAGCAGAGGTTTGATGGCATTGTATAATGACCCATTTGTTGCATTGTTTGTTTGATGTAGGAGTGCTATCACAATCGAATCGGTCAGGTCTAGCGAAAGCTCACTAAATCAAAAGGCCCATGGAAAACGATCGACAAAATCGTTGGATGCTGTCACGATACACAGTGCACCGACCATGTTTGCCTATTCGCTTGATTACCATGGCCTTCTTCTTATCCTCCTTCGCTTTGGCAATGCGAGCCTTATCCTTCTTTGACATCTTCCGTTTGAGCTGATCCAACCATGTCCTCAATTTGGCTGGAGGCACTCATTGATCGAGGAAGCTGGAGGACCAAGCTGGGTTCTGAGGGTGGGACGGGGTTCCGAAGAGAATGCTGGGCTTGTTGGTCAAGGCCCCATATGCTCCCATAGGACTCAGCACATCAGGAAAGATGATCATGCCCAAACTCCATGGAAATGAAGCCCGAAGAAAGATCCATGGGCATGGGGACTGCCAAATAGAATACCGCACTGAGCACACCATTCTAGATTTTCAGGCATAGTTGAATGGAATGTTGCAATGAACATTTCATGAATCACATCAACACTAATATGAGACATGAGCCCCCCACAAGGAGATCACCTTCCAGGCAATGGGTCGCATCACCAATGCTGCAAACTTGAAGTAGGCCAGCGATGGCATCAGGCTCGTTCGAGGCTGCTCTGTAACCCACAGGCACCCACGGGCTAGGGCAACCAACCCAATCAAGACCCAGCGGCAGGTGATCCTTGGTTCACACCCATGCAAGTTAGAATACTCCAGGATCATAACGTTATAACTGCTGTCACCCAGAAATGCATTATTTTTAAGGGGTGATCTAATATATTAATTATATTAGTAAACTGTATATAAATATATATTGTATATAAGCTGGCCTGTAGGGCACAAAGCATCCATGTGTGCAATCATCCTGAATAGGAACTCATGAACATTTTAAAAGATCTTAGATTTACATGTTGTACATGTTATATGAATTAAGAAAAGGGTCGAATTGGACTCCCGGACATACGGTCTTGACTGATCCCCAAAGATCCTCCAAAGGCTCCTCTTCGAAGTGGCCCTGTTGATCCAAACCCAACTCCCACAGGGGGGCCCCCCCGAAGAGGAGCCCCCCTGGCCGCAACTGCAGAATCTTTTTCAAGATCTCCATGAACCCAGTCCTGGGCCAGCTGGCTGGAAGCATTGTTGGTTGGGATGGGAAAGGATGGGAAGACACACGTTGGTATATCCATGTCACACACACACACCGATCTTTTATAAGGCATTTCAAATCATATTATAAGCACATAGTATGCAGATCTGAGTCATGACATGTACTTGTTTGAGGTGAACTTATCTGGAGGGGTGCAGGGGTGGGGGGTGGGGGTAAAGCTGTTAGAACCTAACAATTGAAGATCATTTGTGTTGACTGGGGCTCCATGCGTGCTGAGGATGTCTCCAGTCTCGCCATCGTTCAAATCGAAACTCCCCCTTAGGGAAGGGAGAAAAGGCAATCAGTCTTATCACTATAGGACACTGGTGTGCATGACATCACTGCCCACAACATCATGCCTCCTATGACCAATCTCAACCAAGGTTTTAGGTTGCGCCCAAGATTATGAACCCACAAGTCCAAAACTAAGGACTGAACGCTTTCAGTCCTTGTTCGCCTTGCACGCATTTCACTTGCAGAAAAATTGCAATGTCCAAACTGTGTTTGCAATGGTTGGAACTGATATAGCGTAGGGGTGTCAGAATGGCTGCATGTCATTCCATCAGTGACTTGCCAAGTCCAGTCGACATACATTCTAGAGCATTTTGGAAATTCCAATTCAAACACCAGGACCATAAAGATTGTTCTGGGGCACACACGGTAAAAAGTCGATAGGGCAGCCTCTCCACAAAAGGCATCCACCACATCCAATCCCTGGGGCAAGACAGACACACATTTGATCGTCATTAGCAGGGTTGTCCTTTGTCAAGAAGAACTTGTGTTCTGTAGGGCGACTGTTTATCAAATTTTGTCATAAATTACTTCAATCGCTGCTGATGAAGGAGTCTTGTAAACCTGAGGGTCTAGCACGGTGTTGGTGAGCTTTGGGAGCATTCTGGGCGATGTAGTCGGTCAGGTGCAACCTGGTACAGCACATCTGTCATTGGGTATAAGTGCATTGATTTTCAGAAACAATGACATGCTATAGTCACGCATGCAACCCAAACACAAAACTGTAAGCTTAGTTGTAGAAAAGGAACATGAGCAATGGCACCCCCCATGCCACAAGCAAAGCCGAGGCCCTCTTAGAGAGAGCCAATGGTGATGTGGTCCATGAGGGTCGTACCCGGGGAGCCATCACCAAAACACACTAAGGCCAATGATCCTGCTGAGCCGAGCGCCTGACATTCCAGGTTCCAGGGTGTGCGGGAAACCAATGGCAATTACTCGAGAGTAATTATTCTGTATCGATCAATCCAAACAAACAACCTTTGTTCAAGGCTGATGTGTGTTTGATGCAATTGAAAAACATGTCAAGAGAACAAACTCTGCATGCAAAGCAAACAGGGCATGTTTTCACTATTGATGCTTTCAGAATCCACAGCCCCCAAGATGTGGACCGGTTCGATCCGAATCAATCACGCTATCACATCGCACCCTGGACAGCTGGTGGCTGGTGGCGAGTCCACGATTGAAATCTTGCACGATTTTCACAATGATTGAAACAGGTTCAATTACGACGAGGTATGTTGGATCCTTCGTTTTACATCAGTTAATTAAATATTATAAACCCTTCCACAACTGACCAGTCTATGTCAAAGGGCGCAAGAGCTAGCTCAAAAAGCAGTGTATTCCATGGCACACGTGTGGTTCATATGGGAATTTCAAAGCTGCTGCGTTCATTACGGATGAACATCTCAGGACTTCGCATGCATCCATTTTTGATCGATAACAAGTATACCACACTGCCATGGGCCCTATGGATCGATGGAAAAGATTCAAGGCTCATGAGGGCTCACGCATGGGAATCCACCCGGCCAACTTCATCGCAATGTCCCACCTCAGGAATGATAGGGATGAACACCCTGGGTGTGGTGGCCAAAAAATAGTTTTTGGAGCTCAGAGGGACACCACCACATTGTTTCTGGTTTCGTATTGAAGCACACCAAAAAGAATATGGCACACAAATTGGTGCCTTGAATTTCGTGCGTTTTCATCACTAGAACCTCATGGCCAATCATGATATCATATCCAACGTGGATTCCATTGCATTGCTTCATGATGGTTGCATGCAATACCCCTAGGTCTCACACGCAGGCGCTGGTCCACCGCGCTTTGCCCAGCCAAGACTTACACCGTTTTGAGCGTTGGCCTGGCACATTGGTCGAGTTGGCAGCAGGACCAAAATATATAAAGTATATCGATATTATCGATTCCGTCAAAAATCAGCAATTAGCTGCTTCAGATTCCATTTCTATAGGTATCATATGTATCGGATCCATGCATGCTGCATGTGTATTTTGAAAAAACTGCACTGCTTATATATATATATATAACATGCATGATCAACAGAATGGGCCTGTAAATCATAGATCCCAGTAGCTTCGCGAACCATGTGGATAGTCTTTGGTGGGACATCCTTCACATAGAATGCGGCAGTGTTGGAGCGTGACTGCACCAGCCTAAGCAACAAATCGATTTCATTTACTAGGCCTAGGGATCGGATAGGACGTACATGATAGGACCCCAAATATACAATATGTTATAAATTTAGACCAGGAAGCTTTAGAACAGAATGATCCAGCAGTCACCTGGGCTAGGCCTCAGACAAAATCTGAATGCGCGTAGCACTGTCTGCCACACCCTCATCCAAATCATCTGGAGGAAGCACTGTCCAGGACCTGATATGTCATAGGTGTGGGAGCATTATCAAATAGTTGGATCACACATGGAAACTCATCGACTCATGCATGAAAGGATGCATGCATGCATGATGCACACACCTGCGAATATCCTGGGAATGTAAATTGCCAAGGAGTTCACTTCTGGAGGACAAGTTCATCTGGAGGATACCGCATGTACTTATGCGTCACAGCCTCTTTCAGAATGTTCAGGTTTGCTGCACGGGCCTCCCAAAGTACTTCTTGAATCATGGGGCACGCATTCCCTCCCATGACCAGAAAAACGTCAATCCACACAAAACTCACAATAATCCTTCAATACCGCATAGGTTGGCTTATGAATCAATTGCACTACATGTCCCCTACTCTATCTCAAAATGATTTGCTGTACAGTCCAGTACTCGTCCCTTGTCATCTAGGCACATCATGCCACAATGTATACCTGAGATTACCTGAGCTGAACCATTGCGCAATTGCGAAATGTAATCCACCAAACCCAAGGGCGAACCGTCTCTTGCTTTGCTTTCAGATCCTCCTTGTCCTTCTCACGTTTGTCATTGGCTGTTTCCTTCTTGTCCTGACTGGATGGACCCATCAATCAAGCAATAGTTGCTGTGGGCAGGTGCTACTACTGCTAATGATGAGTAAGGAGTGTGGGTCATCCACAAGACAAGGGTCATCAATGGCAACAATATAACAATGGAGATGCACCAGTCCTCATGCTCATCCTGACGAGCAGCTGCTGCCGAAGAGTCTGGTTTGGCCTTCTTTGCATGTGGATCAGCATCCCCCTCCTTACTGGTAGCCCGCTTGCGTGGTAGCTGCTTGGTCTTGGCCCTTTTCCCAGCAGGTAGGGCCTCATTCTCCTCCACATCCTCCTCATCCTTCTCACGCTCTCCAGCTTCCATGCTTTCAGGGTCGGCTTTCCCAGATCCCTTTGGTGGATCCCCTTTGGCTTTTCTTCCACGACCTCGCCCGCGGCCCTTTCCACGACCTTTGCCACGGCCTCTCGATCTCGGTTTCCCTTCTGCTCCATGTTCGTCGACCTCCTCAGCATAAGCACGATCTGGGTCCTCATGCGCTTGCTTAGCTTCTTTTTGCATTTGTCGAAGTGCTTGTTGACCCTGCAACAGGATTGAATTGAAGACACAAACAAAGTTTGCACGCAGATATTTGCAATATTAATTAAGTATTTTGTAGTGTATTTTGTCATATTTTGTCGGTGTTTTTTCAGCTAACCGATCTACATGACAGATGCTGCAAGCGTTGCGTGCATGCATGCATGCATGCGTGTGCGTGTGTGTGTGTGTGTGCATGTATACCGTTTACACTGATTGACCTTGATCTCCACTCCAAATAACCACAGTACCACATGCATTACATGTGCATACTAGGTTTACATTCCCCATGCTGAAGAAGCAAAATGGAGTGGCCTTGAGAAACTCTGCATCCATCTCTGCTTCATCCTGAGCCAGATCTGCAATGGCAGCGTCAGCTGCCTTCATCAAGTCCTCGGGCATTTGCGGCATGTCAGCCAGCGGCTTTCTGTCCTGCTGTTGAAGCATTCATGCAACACACATTCTACAATTAATGCGCAGTTCCAATTGCCCCAAAATCGATCTGATCATGTAACAGCTCAAACATACTCCAGTGCAGCGCAGTATGAAATACATTGCATTGCACAAATGAGTGAATTCATGTAATAGACCATATCGTATAAAATTCATCCGATCGATATTTTATAGATCCACGTAGGTCCCAAATCCCACCTTGAAGGTTGCTTTAACTTGCTTTTTCTCTTTCGATGTCTGCTCTTGGTCACTGGTAATGGCCTCCTCCTCTTCCTTTGCAATCTGTGCCTCTTTGCTCTCGGTCTCCTTTTGTACAGATGCTGCTGGCAGAACTGGTGCTACTTGTGATTGATCTGGTTGAGGCACAGCTGAACTGCCAGGAGCCTCAGCCTCCTCAACTTCTGCCTTCACATCCTGACGTTGTGGATCAGCTGGCACACTTGCCACGGGTGCTTTGCCACCAGAAGCACCAACATCTGGCTCAATGGGCCCCAAGGAAGCTTTTCCCTTTTGTGGGGACATGACGCACTCATCATCCGACAAGATAAGAACTGTATCGTTATCTTGGTACTCACACACGATTGGTGCAATGCATTCATCATCTGTCATTGCCTCTTCCTCACACTCCTCACCATGCTCACCCTGATCAAGCTCGGGCTGCTGAGCAACAGCACTGAACTTCTGCTCCAAACTGCCCAAGTGGCTGGTGGAGTGTCCCCTCTCCAGGCGCCATTGAGAGTCGATACCTGGTGATGTCAGCGGTTCTGGCAATGCGCCTGAAGAGGATTGAGCCTTTGAGTCAGACAGCGGCTGGGTTTCTTCATCGTCCGGGACAGGAGCCTTCTCCTGCCCATTCAGCAACACTCAGGCCACTGTCAGTTGATTCATGGACAAGTTGCAAACAAAACGATTTTGTTGCACAGGCTTCTCAAGCAAAAATTGTCACTTGTAAGTTCAAGTGGCACAATTACACATCACCCCCATCCAACAGACCTTCTTTTCACTCAGTCCACGTCCACGGCTTGGCTTTTTCTTCCCCTGGGGGGTTAGCAAATCATGCTCCTGTCCGGTGCAAGCTTCGTGGTGTATTCAATATATGACACGCATGTGCATGCATGTGCGCACATTGATCAATATATGATGCATGGCACACGCCACAAACACAGAAGTTGAAACAAGTATATTCAAGTATATTCACAGTGCAGCACCTGAGCTATATGCATGTTGACACCACAGATGCAAGATAGTCCTCCAGCTTGAAGCGGATCACACACTTCAGGTTCTCTGCTCTTTCGTGCCCAGGCCTGGAACAAACATCAGTCGCCGATATCAGCTAGAGTGCAGTGCGGCGTAATAGAAATCAAAAATCTTCCCGAATGAGCTATCGATCAATATATACTATAAAAGGATCCATGCGTGCATGATGCTGCAACCATTTTTTGGTAGACTCTTGGATAAACGAAGATGGCCTGGCCCCAGGGTTTCGCTGGAAGCGTTCCATGCACCATGACGCTGCGCCCATCAAAGTACCAGCCTCAATGATGGCCCATGCCTGGGCCATGGGAAGAATATGGAAGAATTGTTCACGCCAGTATGCATGTGCGCGTGTACTGCATATATACGTGCATGCGTGCACTACAGTACAAACATGTACAAATAAACATCGCATCGATCGATCTAATTAATATAATACTAGGCCACTAACGTGCTAGGTTCGTGTCAGATGGACATCTCACTGGCAAAGATCGGGGTCCAGCCTGATGCTGCTCGGGACGGCGCCAAGGATTGAGGCGGTAGTGGCTCGATGCCCATGCCAAACCCAACTGGCCAGTGCGGTTGAAGCTGGATCATGGAGACCCTTAATGTTTGCATGTTCCACTCAGTATCTCATTGCACTGTGTGGGGTAAGAAGGAATGACAGACCTTCCAATTGGAAAAGCTGATCGAGATAGCGATCTTGCCTCGAGTTCCTTGCGCCGTGGCAAGTCATGTGCGAAGGAAGCAAGGTAAGCCAGCATGAACTCATAGTTGTGGTCACTTTGAACCTGCAAAGGGGACGGACACATTATATTTAGTTGGTTCCCATAAAACTATGACTCCACAAAATATGCCAACACAAGCCCCATCTATCCTCCGTGCGGGCCTCACGCTCCGAGATGACTTGTCGAGATCCCTCCAAGATGAAAAAGCGGAACTTTGGGACCTTGCATGGGTCGATGAAACAAATTGATCGTTCATCTAATTCAGGGACCCCCTAAAATATATTGCATCATATTGCATCGATCTCTGAAAGCCAGCGGTCTGATCTGAGCTGATGACCAACTTTGTGTCATCCTCACGAAGCTTAGCCCTGAGACGCAGCGATTTGCGCCTGTTCGTGAGGAAGTCGTCACTCTCACAGAAGCTTCTGAGGAACTCCTGCAGAAGGGTTGTGGATGTACAAGACATCGTGAAGGACAAACAAAGGAGCTGGCATGATCCAAGTTCAACATACAGTATATGAAACGGATATATCATGGATTCAATGTGGACCATTGGGTGCTCCTTGATGAGTTGTACCCTTTGAGGGTTCAGCCGCTTTGGCGTGAATTGCCATGGCTGGATCTCCGACATGTTGTTCTCCCACCAACGACGATTGTCATGAACTGTGATCATGATGTCTTTTCCCCATGCCCTCCGGAGATGCCAGCCAAAAAAGACAATCCGGAATACATGGATCGATATGGATCAACATACTTAACTTTGGTCATAAGCCGATTGAACATGTTCTCAAATTGGCAAATAGTTCAATGACCTCTCATGACCACACTTTCTTTGCACATGACCAAGTCACGCTCTTGGCAGGGTGTGCATGTGTGTAAAGCAGGTCGGCGGGATGGTACCAAAGAGTTCATCCAGATTGATGAGGTCGTTGCCAGTGAGTCGCTCCAAATAGCCTTGGGGACAGCTTGGTGGAAGCCCAATTATTTTCATGAATGCAGCCCTGCATATGCGTTGATGCTACAGCTGCACGAACGGTTGTTAATCAATCAACTAGTTGAGGACTGAATCGGGCTGAGCTCATGATCATAATTGAGCACCGGGCGGGCAGCAAGTGCTTTTCTCATGGCCGCCCCATGACCAGCAAGGCGAGTGGGAGGATCGGGAGGATCAAGTCTTTGCTGGTCATTGATCCCATCATGCATGGATAACTGCCCCATTCTAGAAGCTGTGGAGGTCTAGCTCAGAAAGGTTGCCTCTAATGATCCGGCCTATAATGCCTTTGAGGTCTCGCCCCCACACTTCATCGTGGGGGTTGTGCCAAAATGGCCTCCACACTCTCAACATGTCATCTGTACCTGGCAGGATCGGGCGGACATGCAAAGAAAGGACGTTCTACTAAGAACCTTTGTTTTTAAGGACGTTGACCTCCAGGGTATACATATTTTGTTTTTTCACAAGTAAAGCTAAGCTTGTTGTACCTTTTGTACCCAAAATTTAACAGAACAAATGCTCTTGGAAAATATGTTCGTGCACAACATGTAGCAAAAACACTTTGCTACAGTGAACTGTGGCCAAAGTATCACCAAACCCTAGGTTTTGAGCTAGTTGTTGTTAGAGTTTTTGTTCAGAGGTGTAGAGAGAATACAAAAAGCAGCAAACTAAGTATATTGCTCGAGACATTTTGAATCAAAAAAGGGTCATAGTCATATATAGTAGCATTTGATTTCTTGGCTTTGCACGCATGTTGTCTCAAATGTTGATTTAATCCCAGTTGTACTATGTAATCTACATCTACACTCAGCCGCGAAGTCGCGGCAATGTTTTTGATGTGTTCTGAAATTCCTTCCCTAGCACAACTCACACAAGTTGCAAAGAGGTATCGGAATGAGGGTGAACGAGAGGGTGAACGAGGTCAGAGCCCATGCCAGCAAGGAAAGCCCTCAGAACGAAAACCTCTATACCTCATCGTGTATATGCGCACATCCCCTTTCTTTCTTTCTTTCATTCTTTCTTTCTTGTCTCCCCGCTGGTCTGCTGTGATCGGCGTTTTGTGTGCCACTGCTGCCCTGTCTCCTTAATTACGTGTTTTCCCCACCTGTCTCCCCACTTGTTTGCCTGTGCGATCGGCGTTTTGTTTGCCGCTGCTGCCTTGTCTTCTCCCCAACCAAACGCGACATCGCCACGATTTCCATACATTCAAATCCCAGTGGAAACGCTTCAAAAATAGAAAATTGCACATTTGATTGTAGCACATCAAACACTCTTGATAAGTGGTATAGGCTTCATTCAATAACTTTTTTTCTGGCACGGTTGCGTAGTTTTAAGGTGCTCCTTGTTTTGGTGGAGCAAATCAAGAAATGAGGTTTAACTACTTTGCTGATGCTGGTGTCAGGATTGGTAACACAGCAGGTGATTGAACAATCAAAGGATATCAAAGGATCACAAAATTGCACAAATGAAGTCGCTGTTAATGGTGCTTCTTATTTAGGTGGCAATGTTACTTCAACAAGCAATATTGCGAGACTAAACCATAACCTAATTACTTGTGAAGATAGACATTATGTAAGAGAAGAAAACGATGGAGCCCATTTGAGAGACTGACATTTCATGCTGGTGGTGGTAGTGATAGTTACAGGTCTATTTTTGGCAATGAGTTGGTAGAAAGCAGCCGAATAATAGATATTACAGCATGTAATCTTCTTTATGAGTCTAGTCAAGCTCATAAACCTTGGGCAGTGTAAAGAGCCATGGCTTTGACACTTATGATAATGACCATTGCATTCAAGAGGAACAATGAAGAGTTTATGGAGTTAACATTGATGGAACAATTCATGGGTTTAACATTGATGCAAAATTGAAAACAAAAAACAATGCACAACAGCTTAGTAGGTCAATCCAAATAAGACTACAACTTGGATAATTACAACCCACTCGTCCACCACCATATTACTCATAACACTGATTCTGGTGTCATAAGGGCCTTTCTGACCAGCGCTTTCACTGTGGATTCATAACCCTGGTTCCGAATCTCTATGTGGGGTGATTAATCCAGAGTCCAGAGTATAGATATTGAATGTAAAGAGTGCTAGTCTTGTGACCCCAAAAAATTGACCTTTAAAAAAAATTGACATAATATTATATGGACCCCCTTTCCTTGCGCGTCGCGTGAGTCACGTTTTTGTTCATTCTTCGGTTTTCTCCGAGGCACCAAGGTCACATCCCCCAAACACCCGGAGAGGAGTCCGTTGAAGGCACCGGAGAGCACCTGCAACGTCGACCGGTCGAGTGCCTTCACCGGAAGCAGCGCAGGGTGTCGACGGAAAATCGTTTTGAGGTCTATAATCCTAGGGCTCCAAGTACCTTCTGAGAAGGTATTTGGAACCTTTAAGAACAACCAATGCAAGATCCCAAGATGAACTCGCTTTGAAGAAGGAAATTGGAACTTGATCCCGGGCCAGACGTTGAACTATTTGTGGGAAATTGCTCCAAAACACTGCAGTTAAGCACTGGCATCTCCTGTGCTCAATGCGAAGGGCTGCAACAAGTGCGTTGCTGTTTATTTTGGCATTCTTTGGGGTGGTTGTTTCAGGTTTCTTCGCGCAGTCCGCTCGCCCAACGCTCCTTCTCGCCTCCTTGGCCGTCAAGCCGCACCACACGGCCAACAGCAACTCCTCCGCGAGGCCCAAGTCCTGCCGATGCCGACAATGCCGAGGATGCGTGGCTGTCATGGACGGACAAATCCATTGACTTGCAACTTGCAGGTGGTGATGTATCGCAGCGGTTTGGCAGAGAAAAACTAAATGTTGAAAACCGGTTTGGTGAGAAGGCCCCAAGAGATGGTTGTGGCACAACTTACGCATCAAATGCACACACACACTCACTCACACACACACACACTCTTACAATTTGGGAGCTTGTTCACATTAAGATGCAGCCTCTTACGGGGCCACAGGCATTAATCCATTTCAATGACGGAGAACAGTTGCTAGTAGAATCTTCCAATCCAGCGGTTTGTGAACGTTTCACCTCGTTTCACATGCCCCCTGCGGCTTAGGATCAGTCAACTCATGTGAAACACTCAAAAAGCAAAAGACCGGTGGCCCCATGTGGCCCCTCCCTTTTTCGAAGCTCCGATCCGGAGCCGGAGCCTCCGTGGCCGCACGCGCCAAGGGCTCGAGGATCTGGGGCAGATCGGGGTGAGGGGGCAGCGATGTTCGGATGATAGGGTGCGGTGAACTTGGTACCTGGCAAAGGACCAGAACAAATGAACTTTGGGATGAGCATCTGACAAGTCTGACAAGCCTCAAATTGGGCGCAAAGAACTCTTTATGAACTCTTTGTGTTTGGTGGTCGGTGATGTAGTCAGATAGGTTCCGCATGGTTCCGCGGTTTGATCGGCGTACATGCTCAAGGATGTTGAAGGAAGGAACCAACTCTCCATGGGCAAGAGGCCCGGCAACACTTGCGGGAAGACACCGTTGCATGAGAACCAAAGTGTTTCAGCTGTTTCAGCCATGGGGGAACCCGCTGCAGAACCCTGCAACTGGCTGCAACAGATTCTGGGTGCAACCCTGCACGGTCCGCTGGTCCGAAAAATATGCTTTGGGAAGTTCCGCTCCTCCGTCTCGAAGCCTCTTCTACAATCCAACTCCACCTCGAGGCATCCTTAAGGATCCTTGTTGGATCATGCATCCCTGTCACGATGACACAGGCGGCCTGAGGCCTTGGGCAAGGAATTACATGAATCAAAAAAAACGCAGGGCTTCTACCAAATATCTAAAGGATCTTGTTGGCATCTTTGTTTCTGAGCAAAGTGAATTGGGGCCATGGGCCCCATGGGCCTGCTAATTTCAAGAGTGACCAAAACAAGGGTCCCACAGCGACCTTTTGCAAGCCTATTGGTGCCCTCACATCAGGCCTAAGAACAAAAAAGGTTAAAGGTTGAAGAACCTGGGTAATTACATGTTTGCAACATGTACAGGTACATATATCTGATGTACATCTACAAACCCTGGACCCATACCCACTCTCAGATCATATTTAAAACGCACCCAAAAATCGATACCACACACCCCACGCCGTACCAACTGCCCCAGCGAGCTGGAAGTCATGCCGGGGAAGCATCGGCCAGCGAGACTTCCACGTCGGGATAGCTCCCTTCACCTCAGCGAGCGAGCGACGTGAACGACTCTTTTGGTGGTGTCGAACGAGTTCGGGGCGCCCCAAAAATGAGTGCGAGACAAAATGGGCACGTCGCGAAAACAGGGTTGAGCACTCTGATCGGGATGAACTTCTGTCTACGTCGACATGCTTTCCGCATCGCGGAAATACCGTTGAGCATCGGTGCCGG